CGTAATTCTATCCCCTCCATCCATCAATCTAACTTAACTCTTCCCCTCCCTAGCCATCTATCCATCAATCTATCTTAACCCCTCCCTCCCCACCCTTTCCACAGTGTTTCTATCCTCTCCCACCTATCCTATTTCTCTATCCTCGTTTCGTTCCCTGTGGCTCCTCCCTCTTCCTTTACCATCCACCAATAGCAAGCCAGAAAAGTTAACCATCAATTTATATCAATTCCCTCTGTGTATATCCTGACATATACCGCTGCGAGGTATGGAGAGGAGAGGAGGAGGAGAGGGGAAGAGGAGTGGGAGGAAGAGGGGAAGAGGAGGAGTGGGAGAGGAAGGGGAGGAGGAAGAATAAAAACAGGTGGAGGGGGAAGAGGGGAAAAATAGAAAGAGGAGGATGAGGAGAGAAGATTAAAAGAGAAAGGGGAAGAGAAGGATGAAGCAGAATCAACATGAGAGAAGTAACAGAGAAGAGAAGAATGATGATAGAGAATCTCTCTCTCTCTCAATACAAATGCAATTCCTTCCTCCTCCTCCTCTTCCTCTTCCCTCTGGCTTACAGGAATACAAGTAGCCAATCAAGATGCCCCCCTCCCCACCCCCCTCCCCACCCCCTCCTCGCCTACACCACACACGTGTTAAAAAAAAATACATCGATAAAATAACACAGACTAAACTTGTTGCTAAATATATAATAATTAGATAAACGATAATAAAGTAGAATAAGGGAAATAAGTAGAGAAATATGTAATAAGTAAATAAAGATAAAATCAATGAAATAATATAATGCTGAATATACATACATTTTAGCATACACCTTTTGCCTAATTACTCCTTACCTTTTTATCATCTTGTCATCCTCCTCGTCTTAATACCTCACTTATCTTCCTGCCCATTCACTCTCTTCCTCTTCCTTTCCTGTCTATATCCTCTCATTCTCTCAACCTATATAACCCTCTTTTCATATTTCCCTCACTACCCGACACAACCACTACCACAGTCACCTCAGCTCACTACCACCGCCACTACCACCAGCTGGCTTTCTTACTACCCAACCAACCACAACCACTATCCTTCCACAATACCTACCACCATCCATTCTCCACACCACCCCTACCTACCTACCACCACCACAGTCTCCTCCACACCCACCACAATGACTAATTCACCCTCATCCCATAGTCCCCTAAACAATGGACCTACACCTTAACTACAGACAATAGCTAGGAATTCAACACGATGGATGACAATGGCGATGTTAAGGAAGGACCCACAAAAAAAAAGAATGTCTGGTTGGGTATTACAACACCTTTTCTTCCTCCCCCCGTCTCCTCCTCCTTCTTCTTCTTCTTCTTCTTCTTCTTCTTCTTCTTCTTATTCCCCCCTGTCTCCTACCTGCTCCTTCTCCAACCCCTGCATCTTCCTCCTCATCTTCCACTTCTCCGTCTCCCTCCTTCCTCCTCCTACTTCCCCCATCTCCTTCTATCCCTGTGTCTTTATCGCTTTCTCTTCCCTACTCTCCTCCTTATCTCTTATCCATTTTTTTTATTCTTTATCCCTATTTACACACACATACACACACGCACACACACACACACACACACGCCATCACCTCACCTACTCACACACACACAAAAAACCTTAACGACTGCAAAACCAAACCCATCACATAATAACAACAATGAAAACACCTTCCTACCTCTTCCCTCCTCCTCCTCCTCTCTCTCCTCCTCCTCCTCCTCCTCCTCCTCCTTTTCCTCCTCCTCCTCCTCCTCCACTCCTCCTCCTCTCTCTTCCTCCTCCTCCTCCTCCATCTTCCTCCTCCTCCTCACTTTGGCACTGAACTCTTCCCCCAAAAATCAAAACCTAACCTACTTTTCTCAGCAGTAAAGGAGAGAGAAAGAAGGGGGGGTGGGAGAGTGTGTGAAATGCAACGAAATTCCTTCAATTGCGAATCAAGTGCACATAGTCAATTTAGGTTCGCATCTTCAACACGAGACGAGCTAAAACTTCTTCCTTACTGCGCTCTGGAAACGTTCTTACCTTACTCTTAAAACGTTCTTACTTTACACACGTTCTTATATCAGTTGCAAAGACTTTTCTATTTAACTCTTAAAAGTTTTCACACTCTCATCTTGAACTTAATTCAATATAAGCCTTCTTACTTAACTAAAATCATCCTTACTTCACTATAAACACTCTTACTTTACCATAAACACTCTTACTTCACTATGAACACTCTTACTTCACTATAAACACTCTTACTTCACCATAAACACTCTTACTTCACTATAAACACTCTTACTTCACTATAAACTCTCTTACTTCACTCTAAACACTCTTACTTTACCATAAACACTCTTACTTCACTATAAACACTCTTACTTCACCATAAACACACTTACTTCACTCTAAACACTCTTACTTCACCATAAACACTCTTACTTCACCATAAACACTCTTACTTCACCATAAACACTCTTACTTCACTCTAAACACTCTTACTTCACCATAAACACACTTACTTCACTATACCCCGGTGCAAATCAATCATCCTTACTTCACTCACAAGAACTTCAACTAAAGTTTACCTCACTCTTACTCTTCCTCCCATCCTGATCACACGAAGGAGACGTGCAGAGGAGAGCACTGCCTTGGAGGAGGAGGAGGAGGAGGAAGAAGGAAAACCAAGAGAGGGAAGAAAAATAAGAGCAAGAAGAAGCAAAAAGAGGAGGAGGAAGAGGTGCTGAAAGAGGAGCAGGAGAAAGAAGAGGAAGAGAAGAAGAAAATCATAAGGAGGAGGAGGAGGAAGAAAAGAAGGAAATCATAAGAAGGAGGAAGAGGGGGAAGGAGCAAGAAGTCATAAGAGTGAGGGGGAGGAGGGGTTCATAAGGAGAAGGAGGGAGGAGGTAATAAGGGGGGAGGTGGAAGCCATTAGATTTATTACGAGTGTTAAAGTGTTAAGTCGTTAATCTTACGTCCGCCCGCTGCCCAACACCAAAGGTTAAAATATCATACCGCAAAAAAAAAAAAAAATATTTGGCGTTCGTAAATACCCCCCACCAAAAAAATCTTGATATGTATATTTATTCAATTTTGTGAACCTCAAGTGGTTATAAATATAATAAAAAACTAATAATAATAATAATAATAATAATAATAATAATAATAATAATAATAATAATAATAATAATAATAATAATAATAATAATCATAATCATAATCATAATAATAATAATAATAATAATAATAATAATAATAATAATAATAATAATAATAATAATAATAATACCATCTTTTTTATTTTTATTTTGACCAGCCCAAGAAATAAACTCTAAGGGAAAATATTACCACATATAACTAACTAACATCAAAATACATTCTTGGGGTGGAAAAAATATTGCAGTTTAGGGAAAAAAAAATTCACTTGATATATATAAATAACTCATCGACCTGAGCGTCCCCGTGAATAAATCTCCCTGGATGGTTCACTTCACATGCATATGACCGTGGAAAAATGGCTACCCAAATAAAAGAGCTTAATGACCCGGATATTACACGCTAAATAAAATCAACACACAAATAACCATAACTGCAGTGGGTTAGGTTAAGTCATCTGTTAAGGATCATTTGTGTATAGAGTGTGCATACGAGCTTCACCCCAAGCAACCACCCCCTCTTCCTCCTCCTATCCGTCCTTATTTTCGTCTCCTCCTCCTTCCTTCTTCCTACTTCTCCTCCCTCTTCCTACTTCTCCTACTCCTTCCTATTCCTCCTTCTCAGTGTAGGAAAATATGTAAGCTTCTCTCGTTTAGGAAATTTAACACAATATTTACTAGCAGACAACAAAAGCTTAATTTTTCAATACTGTTTTACGTTCCCGCGTTTTCTTTAGCTAAGTTAATGTTTTTCGGTTGTACAGAAAACGTATTTGTATATATACTGTAAAAATATATATATATACTGTATATGTGTATTTCCTTTTCGTGATGATTTTTTTTGGTATTTATATCGTGTGCAAAATACATACACACATTTTCTAAATTCAAAGAAAAACATTTGTTGAACTGTTCTGTATAACGATGTTTTATTTATTTTATTTATTTTTTATAACTCGTTTAGGGTAGTGAACTAACAGCACAGTTTGACCTACCTATCTACCTACTCTCTCTCTCTCGATGAACCTTACGTGACCTTTTGATGACCGCTATACAACCAATCACTTTATATTGCCAACACATTCTCGGCCTTTTACCTCTGTTGCTGACATTACAATGGTTGCATCATACGGCAATTCTTGTGACCTTTCTTGCAATACGTGTTTTTGTCCTCCCCTCCAATGTACTGCACAGAGGAACAGCCACTGACATTATCAACGGTGTGTGTGTGTGTGTGTGTGTGTGTGTGTGTGCGTTCCGAGACTTCTACAGGAAAATAAGTAATGACCTTTTTTCGTAATGGACCTTCAGCCCCTCTAACCCAGGACATAAAACAGGGGGGGCAAGTACTGACCTAATCGCCCCTACTTACGTCCAAATGACCCTTTACTTCAACGGTAAAACCATTAATAACTGTTTTCATAATGGAACTTTTTCACTCTCCACCTCATAACTTAAACGAGGCAGCGAGCACTGACCTTATCACCCCCACACTGGTGTCTAGAATGGCGCCACACCTCAACACCATAATAAGTCTTAACCTTTATTAATGGAATTTTTGTCACACTCTCATCCTCTTCACAACACACCATCCGCCCCTCCCTCACTTCCCCTCCAAATTCACCACAGGAAGTAAGCAGTGACTCCTATCTTCTTCACCTGTGTCCTCAGCACCACCACCTGTATTCATTCCCTCATTGTATCTAACGAGAGATTACAGACTCTTCAGCGTCATTCTTTCTCATAATGAACCCTTAATGCCCCTCATGGCAGACCTTTCTCATAATTCACCCTCTTGAGTTTTTACTACCTGGGGTTATAAACAGGGAGAGGGACACTGACCTTTCTCACAGTAGGGACCTTCGTAGTCGACGAGGGAACAGTCACAGAGGGGGCCCTGCTCTCCCGTGTAGCACCGGCCGCCGTTCATGCAAGGGTCATGCTTCCTGCAGCTTCCTTCGTTTCTTTCCTCTCGGATACCCTGTAGGAGAGGAATGGTCACTCATTAGATCATAGAAGGCGATGACGATGGGTTAGGTAGATTAGGTTAACTTCTCTTACACACCTGAGAAGATAATTTATGGTAGAAATAGGAGGGTGACTCTGAATACGGGAGGAGATACTTGGGATTATGATGGTGTTTTACACTGTGGGAGGCGTCGACGAAGGGTTGAAGGGAGAATTATTCTCACTTTCTTTCCTTCACATACACTAAGGAAGGAGGGCGAGGAAATATGCTTTACTGTAGAGTCACCTTCACCGCCCGTCGCCCGGATACAACTGTGGGAACAGATAGACGTCCTTATTGCACGAGCGAGGCGGCGACGAAGGGCAGAAGGGGAGGTGCTGTTATTACCCAAGGGAGGACACCCCCAATAAGTACAAGAGTAGACAAGGGAAATTAATTCTTGTGACTTTGAATAAGAGGTTTGTGTAGGATGCTGTGGGGTGGGTGGCGGCCATGACAGGGGGGACGATGCGTCATATAACATGGGCCTCACGTATAATATGCCAGACGGCGGAGCAACACACAGCACGAGGACATAGAATATAAATTGATCAACTGAGTGAGGGAGAGAGGGCGGAGGCCTACAGGGGCGGATGGGAGAGACGTGAAACATTGATTATTATATGGGACATGTAGGGCGGAAGCTGTTTGTCGGAGTCCATGGGGAAGTGGGGGAACTGCTGCAGCATATGGGGAGAGCACTACCTTCTATGGGGAATGGGGGTAATGTTGCAGACTATGGAAAATGGGCAGATTATTGCAGTCTATATGAGATGATCATTGTTGAATTTTGTGGGGAAACGGAGACTTAGGAGCTTGTTAGCAATGTTGAAAATGACGTAGTTTATGATATCGGGAATTGTCGTGGTTAATAATAATAATAATAATAATAATAATAATAATAATAATAATAATAATAATAAACAAATAACTCTAACTAAAAACTACGCGATTGAAGACAAGAAAAAACTACGCCACTGACATAGGTACTAGATAAACCTCCTAATTATGTTTTCTTTCTAAATAAATAATGTTAACCACACAATACCCCTCAAGAGAGAGAGAGAGAGAGAGAGAGAGAGAGAGAGAGAGAGAGAGAGAGAGAGAGAGAGAGAGACGAGGTAGCCAACACGCCATACAAACAAAACGACGCGTTGACAACTACTGGGCGTCACGAAGGAAGGAATGAGCGAGAGAGAGAAAGAAAGAAAATGAGAAAATATTTTAAGAAAGAAAGTTGTCTTTATTTCCGGAGCTGTGGAGACGCACGGAGGACCCGCTAATGAACACCTTGATCACGGAATGAAAGTAATCAAGGAAGGACAAAATGTTTCTTTACCCTCACACCTTCTCTTCCCCCCTCCCCCACACCCCACATTTTTCCCTCCCCACACATTCTCCTCCCCCATCCCACCCTCCTCCTTCCCCTTCCCCCCACACCTCGCCTTTCCTACACTCTCTTTCCTTCCCCCACAATCTCCTCCTCTTCCTTCCCCCTCTTACACTCTCTCCTCCCTCTCCTTCTTCCTCCCACACACTCTTCCTCCTACACTCTCTCCTCCTCCTCCTCCTCCTCTTCCTCCCATCACCTCTAATCTACTTCATCATCCTCCCTTGCCTCCCACTCAACAATTACTACTTCTTTCTCTTCTCCCTCCTTCTCTTTCATCCAGTTCTCTCTCTCTCTCTATCGTCCACTTTTTCTCCTCCTCCTCTTTATTCCTCTCATCTACTTCTCCAGTTCCTCATATTTACATCATCCAATTCTCTTTCATTCTCTCTCATCCACTTTCCATCTTCTCTCACTTTCATCTCTCGTCCTCACAAACAAGAGATGAAAAAGAGAAAGGAATTAAAACGAAGAAATGAAAAGAGAAAGAGATCCAAAGGAGAGAAATAAAAGGAAAACATGAATGAAAAAAACACAAAGAGATTAAGAAAAAAAAGAGATGAGAAAGAGATGAGGGAGGGAAATGAATGATAAAGGGGGATGGAGGGAGATTAGAAAAGGAAAGTGTAGAGAGAAAAAGAAAGTAGGGGGTTGTTTTGACAAGGGAGAAGGTTTAAAATGGGGGAAGTGAAAAAGGGAGACTCGAAAACAGAGATAAAAGAGAGAGAGAGAGAGAGAGAGAGAGAGAGAGAGAGAGAGAGAGAGAGACTAAAAGTAAAGAATCTGGTCAAATCCACAAATTAAATAAGGAAAACTACCTCATCTTTCAATCATCACGGGCGCTATTAATCTTAACTTTGCCGTTAACTACCATAGGCTCTGTAATTTCCTAATTTGATCAATAACCACCAGAAGCGCTGTGAACTCCTTATAACTCCGCCACCAGCCACCAGAGGCGTTGTCAACTCCTTATAACTCCGCCACCAGTGACCAGAGGAGCTGTGAACGCCCTATAACTCCGCCACCAGCCACCAGAGGCGCTGTTTAATTCCTTATAACTCCGCCACCAGCCACCAGAGGAGCTGTAAACGCCTTATAACTCCGTCACCAGCCACTCGAGGAGCTGTGAAGTCTTATAACTCCATGACCAACCACCAAAGGCGCTGTTTAACTCCTTATAACTCCGCCACCAGCCACTAGAGGCGCTGGGGATTCCCTACAACTCGGCTAACTCCATGGACTACTGTAGTGTGATGAATTAATATGGCGCGAAGCTAATTAATTTACCGACATGTGACACTGAAACCCTCGCAGCGGCACAGGGTGATAATCACAAGCCAGAATGATATATAATATTAGAGTATAATACCCACACTCTCATGCCTTTGTTAGTGTGTCGACGACCGAGTCCGTCCGTTTTCTCTCATACTTTTATGGATTAACTATGCTGAAAATGTGTTGGTGCCATTTCATGAAATTTGTGTCAAAACTTTTCTTGTACGTTCATGGTTATTATATTGTTTAACCTTCCATAGTGACTTTTATTACATGACTGATAGGAATAATTTGATGAAAAAAAAAAGGTTTTACAATTGATATGAATATTGATTTATATATTAGTGGTGACCTTGATTCTAATTATTTTCTCATATCCAATTCCACAATTTATATAAGTTTCAATTGATTCTTATATCAACAAAATAACCAACGCTTTTACGAGATTAACATATAATTCAAACCTGTCTGTCAATAATTCGATTTCAAGATAATTTATAATTCATCTGTAATACACAATAATTTTATTAGTGAAATACAAATCAAAGTATATATACAACTATATACTGTCTGTAATTAGGGTAATCAATTATGGACACCCTATATATAAATAATATAACCTTTTTCTATATAGTGATGCTTTGTGTTGCCAATATAGACACTACTACTGCTACTATAACACACCAATTATACACAATATAAATCCAGCAGGTAGACATCAATGAAACCCGGAATTAATAAAACTTGCCCGCGGAAACTACAGGTCAAAGCCTTTCCTTTTGAACCCATTACAGTCTTACAGCCGTTCAAAAGTGATATTAACGCTTTATTACACGCGTAACTAGTTCAAAGCGTTCATTACTCCTCTATGAGCCTCTAGCCTAGTTCATACGCGGATGGGCATAAACGTCATTGTTGGGGGAGGGGTGAGGGAGGGGGATGGGGAGGGGAAGGGGGAAAAGGAGGGTTAGGGCTGGAAGGGGATTGGGATGGAGAAGGTGGAGAGGGGAGATGGAGGGGGAGAGTAGGTGGGGAAGGGGAAAGTAGGTGGGGAAGGGGGGTTGAACGTTTAATAAAATGCGTCAATATTTGCTCTTCCACAACGACACTCCCTAAATGAATTTGTGATGGCAATTCGGAAATTTAATCAAGCGTCACCACACAAGGGCACAACACATCACAAACAGACAACAGCGGTTATTATTATGTGTATGTGGACCTAGGTGCACACAGGGTTATAACACACACACACACACACACAGACAGACATATAGATGTACATACCTTACACACACGCACTCACACAAGACCCAATAAACGCACATATGAACACATACCAACGCGCCGACAAAAGCTCGCGCACACAGACCCCAATAAATTTACAAGTACACACACTCACACGTGACACAACTCAACACACACACACACACACACACACACACATACAGTTATCTTGGTTAAATTAAAATTTTCTTGATAATTATAATTTCCTTCTTTCAAATGAACTGCTTCACGACACCATTACGTCACCTTCACCAGTTAATAAAACACAGCTCAAGAAATAACCTAAAAGTTACAGTTTTCCTCAGAATGTGAAGCTGAATCATTAGGTTAATTTGTCCCTTATGTGGAATATTTACAAAAAATAATGAAATTTTCAAATTAATCAAAATATTTTTTAGATTCATATATAATGAACTACTAGGACTAATTACTCTAATTTTTTCACGCAAAATATATATTTTTGGGACGACTATCAAATTATTTTCCCTTGATGAAGAAATTCTGGTTTGGACACAAGTTCTGCACTAATGATGGCTTAATATTTATTTAATTTGTAAACTAATAAGTATTGATAAATGAATTAATAATTATCAGATTTATAAAACAAATACAGACATTATTTATTTACGAGTCCTTCTGACATGTGACGAGGATGGCTGCCACACCGAGTTGCCGCGTCATGTTTTTAGACGTCACATTATTGAGCGACGCCATTTCGAGCATTGGAGAATATTTGTACTATCTAAAGGCAATTTCACTGCTGCAATACTTCTAATTTACAAATGGATTAACCTAAAAAAACACAAATTAGATCACTGCATTAGCATACAGACGGAAATACAATCAGTCGGTCTAAAGCAGGATTTAAAAGGTATGACAACCAATCGGCGAAGAGAACGTTGAACATTAGACCAATCACGAGAGGAAGAATATAAAACAGAAGGCGACTCGACTTGGAACGGTAACAGCCAATCAGCGAGGAGATGAAGAAATACGTGACCAATCAGCAGGAGAATATTCG